GGTAGTGCCCACTGCGATCTGGCACTTGCTGTTGAGGTCCGAGAGTGCTCACTGCGGTCTGGGCACTTGCTGTTGAGGTCTGGTAGTGCCCACTGCGATCTGGCGCTTGCTGTTGAGGACCGGGCAGTCCAGGAGAAGAGCTCTGGTATAATCTAACAACCCTCGCCTGGCAGGTGGGGAAAAGATAGTACATTCGTGCACTGACTCTTCGCACGTCCGCTTGCCAGAAGGATGCTCCGTCCACCGAACATGGATCAGGAAGAACATAACACCACATTTCTGCCCATCACATTGACAGCCCTTCATACGTCTCTTCGTGCCTCTTCATCTTAGGCTTTTCTTCCCCACAGAGACAACGAGGAGCGTGGTGTTGAAGTATCTCGGTGTCTCTGCTTGTGCATAGAAGACGATATTCGCACCAGGGCCGAACACCATAACACAGCAAAAACACAAACGTATACACTCATACACAATTGGCCACACATGTGCTAGCTGTGCTAGTCTGGGATCCTGCACCATATGTGTGCCAATTTTCACACGGCAAAATTCATTGCCTGCTCAAAAAGGTAGACTAAAAACTTGTTGCAGCTAGTAGAACGGACACAATTTTGGGCTGAAAGTGGTGGAGGGAAAACACATTAGACAACATCACCTTGTTTGGAGGTAGTTGGGTTCCTCAAACAAGTATATGTTGCAAGCAGTTATATTCATGTTCCAGCCTGCCATACATGGCTGAGTGAGAGATGGTGAAGTGTCTGAACTTTGAAGGACCAAACCGAGAGTCTGGCAAGACATGCATGGGAAGAAAACCGCTGCGCAGATGTGTTTTGCCTGTTACCTGGGGCTGCTTTGAATCGTGGGGATTTGGATTCGTTCAACGTGTTTCGGGCTATGCAACATAAATTTTCGACTTAGGCAACATATTTCCCGAAGGAATTTTCTGAAGAATACCCTCCCGACATTGCTACTGCTTCAGTCTTCGTACTGCGCACAGCATATCCCGAAGCATACCCCCATGCCGCATGCCCCGGGAGTCAAGTCAAATTCGTGCAAACCCTCCCAACTACACCCATTGCTGCGGCGATTTTTCGATGGAAAAGTATGTTTTCAAGGCAATTTCACTCACGAGGTAGTTTTTGTATGTTTTTGGAGATCCTTTGAGTCCAGGAAACCCGAGTGAGTTAGCCCAAGAGTCGGGAGTCTTCCACAGTTTCTTTGTGAAAGATGCCCGGCTAGGCAAAAACTTGATGGAAAAACTCCCGACCAAAAGCTTCGTAGCGGATGTCCTGGGCCAAATCTTTTGCAAAGAGGAACTTCTCTAGAAAAATTTGGAACTGAAAAATTTGAACACCGTGAATACACCCTGTGCAAAGGCTCCACGTTTCAAGCCTCCACGTTCTTCCACCAGGCCTGGTGAGTAGTCTTAGCTGCAGAGCGTCTCCGCTCTGCTTAGTCAGCCGTGAAGGAGGCTGCTGCAGGGCTTAGCCAGGAGATTTCTGGACCAAATAAAATGTAACAATAACAAAAGATATCATTTCGAGGCTTTACATGAGTAGTTGAGAGAGGCTCGGCTTGGTTTGCAGATGGTTTTCAGCGTCTCTTGTTCATGAACCAATAGTAGAGGGACTTCGGCAAAAACCATCCTCCCGTCATCATCATGGTTTGATCCAAGCTCTTGGCGTGTAACGGTCAGATGACACTCGAAAACTATAACCTGGAAAATCTCCTTGGTTGACTGTTGTCACGTGAGCGTGACCCTGTTTGAATCAAAGCACTTGCGCATTGAATCTTGGAATGAGCGAAACTCAGGCAATTACACTCTGTCATGTACTTATCTTCTTTTGAAGATGCCCATGTCCTTGTTTCTCAAGGTAATTTTGTGAGGATGTGTCGATTGCATCACTTCATGATGCTGTGTCCTTTCTGACGTTGTCCAACACATGCCCTTCGGACGGTGAACATGAGAATCCCTAAGCCTCCATCTCTCTATATATACACGGAAACAACACACCCATTGGGAACCATCCCTGCTTTGCAGATATCCAATGTCCCCAGAAGAAACACATACACATACCGAAAAACAACTTCAATGTAGCCGAGATTCACACTTGATCGTCAACAGCTGGCTTGGCAGAGCGGGCGGGCCATGATCGTCGTTGGATCGCGGCGGGCTTAAGCTCGGCAAAACGCTGAGCTTGGCCCAACAATTCAGGGTGCCAAAGGCCGCGGGTGCGGGCCGCGGAGGCGCGGATGGAGCAGGGACATGCTTGACAATTACATCGGGGTCCTTGGTAGAAGATACACGACCAAACCCTGTTGGGTGGTTGGTGGTTAGGAACCCACATTTCGATCACTATGACTTCTCAGTCACTTTTCAATTAGCTAAATAACCTTGGTCGAAGGGTTCATGGGGGTTCCGTTCTCTGCAAGAGGTGTCCCAGCATCTCTTCGAAAAAAACAATTAACCATGCTGAATGTACTGAATGTCCCAAGACAAGAAAATACAATCAAACAAGAAAACCACAATACTTGTCATAGCTGGACTCTTGTGCCTTGGGTTTACTCCAGGATGTCAGATGTTATGTCTTATGCAGTGTCCCCTCAGACTGATGGCGTCCTTTTCATTTCACTCCAAGGGTAGAGGGCTTTTCAATCCACTTTTGTGGCCACGCAGCATTTGTTCAACTCAGCAAACCCAGTAAGTTTCCAATTTGCATGGCTCAAGATCACCATTGTCATCCACATACAGGGATTGTATTCAAATCCACATGTCTGATGGGTTCAGCGCAAGCCGCACTTCCCCCGGCTAAAAGGTCTAACAGTACACTGCACAGAGGGCTTTGCAGTAGGCTTTATTGCACAAGACGCACTTGCGTCCAAAAGGTCACTCGGCACGCATGATACTGTTGCCCTTTGGTTGATGCAGCCATGATTGGAATCTCAACATGCTGCATCCCACACAGCCAGCCGCTTGGTGGGTCAGTGGATGATGGCACCGTTTCATCCGCGGAAAAAGCGGACAAAGATGTATACAAAATGATACAAAGACTCAGAACCCGAAAATGTAGGTTTCTTTCAAGTGAGTGTGCCTCATTTTGATGTTTTGTCTAACAGGATGTCAGTGTTCCGGCTGAGATTTCTTCCATGAGGGGGGTTTTGGGGGTCATGTTGAGGCAAGCGGTGCCTAGTTGTCGGTATGGCGCCGGTAGAGATCGAGGGAATTCTTCTCACAAGTCTCACAAGGACAGCC